CCCTCCTATCCCCTCTCTAATTCATATCATAAACACCCAAATTATAACAATAATGACTCCTCCTGGATTTTAGCAAAAAAAGAACGAATAGTGAAAATAAAAAAACAAGCACCCTCCTTTACGAATATTAGATATGCATTTGGACAAAACCTATATACCTTTTAAAAGAGGTGATGCAGTGGATCAAGCTGTGAATTGTTTATATGATTGAGGAGAATATGAGGTGTGGAGGGATAAATTTCCACATGTCTCCAAGAAATTTTTCCACAGGAAAAACCCTAAAATAATTGAAATCATAACATTACATTTTTTTTTTGTTTGTTTCTGAAGATTTCCAATACAAATTCCAAGATTGAACTAATTTTTTTATGATTTTATATCGTATTAGTTTGGAGGGTACAGGGTACTTACCTAATTATAAGATGTCAAATTGCCTCGGGTCAATACGCTTACATATTTGTCGTGGTAGATTAGTCTTTTTTTATGGTAACATGGTAGGCGGACGGTTTGACGGTATCTCATCGCTGGACTGACATCTCATCCAGCCTCGTAATGTACATGTGTCCAATCTTAGTTATTTACTCCTAAAGTGAAAACCTTATGGTTTAATTCCTCCTCATATATTTAATGATTTGGTTGCAATTATTTTAGTATGAGGTGCTTTTAGGTTAAATTTTTTTATATTTTAACATTAATTTATTTTTAAATAATTTTAAAAGTAGCATACTTTCAACTTTGATTTATTATATTTAAAAATTTTAAATTTAATTTATAAAATAATACTTATTTTTATTTGTTCAACGATTTAAATAATTTAATGATTATTTTTTTTATTGAATATAAAAAATCTTAAATTCGAATTGTATGGTAAACGGATAGAGTAAAATAAAAAATATGAGATAAAAGATATAAAATAAAAAATAAAAGATGATTATTTTTTTATATAATTAAAATAAAAATATATATATTTACTTTTAAATAAAATCTAATCTTTAAAATTGACATCTCACCTATCTTCGTCTAAAATATGTAGAATTGCATAATATACCTTTAGAAATGCGTACTTCCAGAATTTCCGTATTCGCACTAACGAAAGTAAAGGAAAGAGCCCACTAGGAATGATCAAGAAAAAGCGAAAAACAAAAGTGATTAGATATGGCACACAAAAACAGGCAGCTTTTTCACGCATAATGTGTATCTTTTTTTTTTTTTAAATAATTTTGATATTATTTACACGTATATATAAGGAAGGGAAAAATGAATTCCATGAGACTCGAACATGTCACTTACGGAGATAAACAGTCCTGACCCAGAATCTAATGTCACTGGCGCAAACATACCACCTACAAAGATAAACAATTTTAATCCAGAATCTAATACCACCAGATCGAAACGGGCCATCCCATAATGTTGATCTTTAAAACCTTTTTCCATAACAAGTGATGCGTCTAAAATCTAATATTACCAAATGCACGTTCAGAGACGGAGAAATTTTCATTCAGAAAAGCATTTTGGTTGCTTTGCTGACTAGAATGTCACTATAACCAACATATACTTGTATTCTATAATGACCACTATTTTTTTTATTAAAAGATATAATATAATTTAAATTATATTAAATTATATTATCTCAATTACTAAATAAAATTAAATCTTTAATATTAAGACTTTTGTTTCTATTTAATAATTTTATTTTATAGTTTAATGTAATTTATATTGAAAAATAAGATTCCCTTTCTATTATATTCCTTCTCTTTCCCAATTCCTCCTCATTTTTTGCACTCTTTCTACTTCACAATAATTTGCCGTTTTACGTACCAAAAAACAAATGTTTTTCACAGTAAATTTTTAGACTAAACTAAATTAACTTTAGTTCCAACAATTTTATTTATTTCATTTTAACCCTATAATTTAAGAAAGAGAAAATTTTATAATTGATATTCTACATTACAACAATAAGTATTGAAACGATATTCAAGGCATGTGAACTTTTGCCTAGAATCAAAATAATAGTCTAGCGCACTAAAAGTACAACAGCATTTAAAAGTGTTGTAAATTTATTTATTTTTAAATAAAAGATAAAGATAGATTTATTTCTTAAAAAATTATAAAGGTAAATTACTTTTTTCGATCATAAATCAAGGCAAATGATTTATTTTTTAATTGCTAATGTTATCACGCATCAATTTTTAATTAAAGAAAGCTTAATTGTCAAACAACTGATTGACGTGTGATTTTTTTTTTTTTGAACATTTTGTTATGGAACCGACTCGAATCGTTACCCTAAGAAAGAAAAACATGAATCTTACAAGAATGATCAAAGCCACTTGACCCGGAGGGTCAGGTTCCTGGTTGACGTGTGATGATATAAGTTATTAAAAAAAAATCATTTCTCTATATTCACAATTTTGATGGCAATTTGTCTTTGGAAAATGATACGGGTACATTCAAAATCGACATACATGGGTACACCCTTTTGGTTCAATTGTAAATAAATGGTTTAATGTTATTTGGCAGCGATTTAAAAGTTATCCTCACTTATCCGAGCTATAATCTATAACTCAAATTTGGAGGATTCTAAACATAATCTGTAAACAAAATCAGAGCAAAATCCCTTCACATTTGAGAATGGAAAACTACTTGAAGAGGCATCGATGGTTTTCAAGTGGAAAAAAAAGACTCCAAGATTGACCGAAGAAGATTAGCTTTTCTGCATGTCTTTTGCCGGTCCCTACTAGTGATTGCCAATCCACACCAACAACTGTCCATCTCTACCCACAGCCGCCGATCCACGTCAGCAACTGTCGATCTCCGCCCGTGGCTGCTGATCCACTCGAGCGGCTATCGATCTCTGCCCGTAGTTACCAATCCATGCCAACGACTGCTGATCTCTGCCCGCAACTATCGATCCACACTAGCGACTGCTGATCTTTGCCAGCAGTTGTCGATCCATGCCAACAGCACCAGTTTCATATCAATTGGAAAGACCTCAGCCAAGCAAAACAAAATTTGGGGTTCTTCTACTATTATACTTTCAATTATTGCAAATGAGTATATTTGGAAGGACAGTGATTAATACACATTTCGATTCAACACATTATATGATATATTTATTAAAAAATTATTATTTTTTAATATGAAATTAAAGACAGATAAATTTAACGATACAATTATATACACAAGATACAGAAACTAATTGAATTGATTATGTTTATATTATATTTTTAATGACTAAACCAAAAATATGTAAAAAAATATGTTAAACTGAAAGTATACCAATTATTTTCCTACTTGAAAACATAAGCAAAGGAATTTAGTGTAAAAGGCAAGGACATGTATTTCTCCATTTTATTCCAAACCACTAGTTTAGGGAATTTTTAATACAATATGTCCCACGGAATGTTGAATTGACATAGTGCATGTATCATAGTCCTTCGTCTTTGCATTCTTTTGAGAAGTTGTCCCTAACTTCTTATTTAGAGAAGACGAATTTAGAGGTTTAACCAACCTATTAAACAATCTAAAAATTATATGAATATTATAATTGGATATAGTTCTACATTTCACAGGGAAGTTGTAAATTAGAATAATTCATCACAAGACAATAAATTCACCATTTTACTATTAATTCTTATAAAAAATACATTGATATTAATTTAATAATTAATAAATTAAAATTATAGATGTTACAATAATACTAAAATAAAAATCAATTTTTTCAACGAGTTAAATAATTTAATTGTTATATTTTTTCGTTCGAAATAAGGAGTCTTGAGTTTGAGTTATATGACATGCGAGTAAGGTAAGATAAAAGATGAGAGATGATTGCATATTATTATGCAACCAAAATAAAATAAATAAATAAATAAAAATCAATTTTTATATCTTTTACGTAAATTTTCGTATGTAGACATATTTCAAGACACATATTTCAGGACACGTACATCCCCTCTTGCGTTGAACCTGCACCGATTCCGCACCGAAGAAGAAAAACAAAACTTACGATCGATAAAATCCACACGGACCGCACCATGAGAGGGAGACTTCCACGAATGCTAACCTTGAGTGGAGATTGAATCAAAGAAAACAAAACAAAAAACAGAAAAAGGAAATGGAAAAGAAGAACAAAACAAAAGAAAACAGAGTGAAAAGATACGTGAGAGAAAAGGAGGGAGGGAAGGGGAGAGGGAAATTCCACAAATGCAAGTGGTTGTTGATGTAAAGCTTACTCATCTTGACTCTACGTAATCGACAAAGCTGAAGAAGTGTTGATAATTCCAAGGTCTTTTAAAGAATTGAAAAAGACAAAAAAAGAAAAATAAAAAATAAAAAAGAAGAGAGACAGAGAAAAATAGGGAGCAGGTTATTGCCATATAAATTATCTTTAAAAAAATATTATTTATTTAATTTAATTATTAAAAATAATTAATAATTATAGTGGTTAATTAATAATAATTTAAAAATATTTTTAAAAAAATATTTATTATTTAACATATTAAAAATAACTTATACATTAATATTTTTAAATATTATATAATTAATTTAAAAAAATTAAAATTTGTGTGGTAATAACAATAATATGGTAAATATCAATAAATTTGGAGTTCAATACTTTAATTTACTCTCAAGCAGATCAAAAAATAAATCCTCTCTCTCAAGTAGGCAGAGATATATAATTTGTTGGTTGAATTTTGCGTTCCTCTTCATCATTCTAAAACCCATTTAAGACGAGAAGAACTAGATTTTTCTGTATATTGCTGCATTGCTTTCAATTGGCCTGATGCTTTTCATTTCACCTTACAGGTTTTTTCTTCTCTCTATCTAAATTCCTTTTGGATTTAACAGTGTTTTTCTTCTTCACTAAATATATAATTGTAGAGAATTTTCAATTTTGTATGTCATGCTACTCTATTTAATCTAAAACTTAACAGAACACGTTTAGAATTGCAATAAAGTGACTATACTTTTCAAAAATTTCTCCAATACCAAACTTCGCCTGAAAAAAATCTACGGTACTCACGTAATATTCGGAACAATAGAATAAGAATTGCTGTTCTTACCTTATTAGCATGTGTTTTAGCCTTACCTTTTGAGGAATGAACAGTCATTAACCTTAACCAAACATAATGTAGAAGTAAATAAAGAAGTTTGAACCTTAAAAACTGTCATTTCAATGAATCCTTCTAATCGTTGAGATTTTGGGAAGACTGGTAGTTGGCTCGATGTAGAGGTAGACTGTTAGAGATTTGAGATGATATTGACTGAATAAGAGTGAGAGCTATAAGAGTGCAGAAGATATCAAATTTGATGGACAAAGGGCTCCAAAAATATGGACCATCTCAACTCTTACTTGCCTCTACTCGGACCCACCTCCACATGGCTACACTCCCTACCCTAGATTTTTTAATAATCTCCACATTGCACATTACATATCTGTAAATAATGTCCCCACTTTAACTCAAACAAAAAAGTGACGTATGATCCGTTTTATACAGACATTATATTTTATAATCATTAATGAAGGATTTTTTATTTTTAAATGTGCTGTTCAGAATTTACCTCGAACTCAAATTCCATTTCTATCACGTCAACAATGACCCAAAACCAACATTCTACAGAAACAAAATTCCAAGACTTCAAGCTGTAGTTGATGAGTGCCGAATGGCTTAAGCTTTTGTTGGTAATATTTCATTGCTTTCTAATTCCGTTGCGTAAATGGAATTGCATGCCATAATATTGAAAAAATAATCAACTTTGCAAATAACGCTTAAAAATATCTTCTTTTTATTTGCTCAATAAAAGGAAAGAAAATAGCATATCCGAATTTTTCTCTCAATCCCAAACTCTAAGTTGGATTGTCCAGGTCAATCCTGAAATGTTTCCTTATTAAACATCTGATGAGTTCTGAATTATTCCTAAACCAACTTCTCAGAATTACAGATCTCAGAGAACGGGGGAAATAAACAAGAAAATGGCATTCGAGATATCAATATATGATTCTCAGAGATCACTGATTGATTCAAGTTGGATGCAGACCAGTAATGAGCTCCACCGGATGCTTGCATCATCCCAACCAGAGTAACAATGCATAAAAACCCTATCTTCGTTTTGCATATTGAAAGATTCTCCATCACAGAAAACTTGAGAAAATTCAAGCACCAATCTTGTTACCAGCATTCCTTAGTGGGGTTTCAGATGTCAAGCAATAGCACTTTCCTAACTTTAATACACAAACTTTTCAGACCCAATCCTTTGCTTTCTGTGTTCCTCACATCACATGCTTCACCTCTTCAAATTAATCACTACAAAACACCAACATGTGTGCAGGCAACCAATCAGAAGACTGTCTCCACAAAACTGTCACGTGATTTCCTGTGCTTATTACACGACAAGAGGCGGTAGATCCAAACTCTTGTTGTAATATTCTTGTGCTCTTCGAATCTTGATGTGGCTTCTCTATTTTTCTTCTAGCTCGGTAGCCATGGTCCCCTGTTCGACGGCCTCAAATTTAAATGTGATCTCTTAGACTTGCAAAAGCCAGCTTCTTCGAACTTTCTGTATTAGTCCCACTGAGTCCATATATAATTGGTCTGAGAGTTTGCAGGTTGCTTGGCCAGCATAAAAGTTGATCACCTACGTAGCACAGACTGAAGAGGGAAGCATGGTTTTGCAAGAGATGTTCAGTTCATATAATGCAACAAGTAAGCTCTAATTACTTCTATATACAGATAGTTGCATTGAGCCAAACATGTATGATTAACAATAGAAACATCTTCATGTCACACAGGCATACTCAAAGCAGGTAGAAGCATAATTTGCTGCTTTTGACAATTAATGATCATAATCATAATTAGTTGTTGTATTATCATAGTAGAAGCAAGAATTTGATTCCAGACAGCTTAAATGACATATATAATTTATGATGTTTCTAACTTCAGTTTCAAAGTTCTTATTGCTGATCTATTTCTAATGTACATGTATGCTGTATGCAATCGCCTTCATGCTGTTCAAATAAGATTCCTTCTTCAAATCATATTCCATTGAAAATTTTCCAGTAGTGAAACATTTCAATTTTCATATTCTCTCCAACTTTATCTTCAAAAAAATTAGAATACTAATCCACAGCAGAGAAAAACATTTCTCCGAGTGCTAGTGTTATCTGCTATGTAATTCCAGTCTAAACTAGCATTTCAGAAAGCCAGAGAAACAATCTACATATCTTCCTACTTCTTAGTAATTTCATAATCAACAGTTTAGAGTAGAATAAAATTAGTCCCACCTTTCCTAAAACTTATGACCTGCTTTCTAACGTGCAACAGAGTACAAGTTTCTCCAACTCCAGATGGCATGGCTGCCTCCAAAATCACCCTGCTGGTGTGAGCACGTAAGCATGGTTACACAACTTTGCTTCCTTGGGATCATACTACTCCAGTCTGTGCAAAAAATTCTGAGTCATTTATGCAAGCGCAGAAGGAAAGACACAGATCAACATACAAAGAATTACCCTGTTGACATCAAAGTTGGCATCTCTTACAAAGCCAGCTTAGTCTGCTCCTCTTTACTACTAACAGTTCATTGTTTCAAGCTACTGATGCTGTTAAATAGTAGTAATGAGACCTACTGCAACTCTACAATTAAAGTTTTCTCATCAGAGATTATGCAAGTAGTGTCATGGGCAGTCACATTGATTGTGGTATGCAAGGCTCCCAAGGAAAAGCATGTCAAGTTTCCTTGGATTCTCAGGGCATGGTGGATTTGCAGCTTCTTCTTGTCTGCTACATGCACGGCTCTCAATATCTATTTAAGAACTGCCGAAAATGGCCATCTTGAATTACAAGATTATGCAAACTTCACAGGTCTCCTTGCATCGACATGCTTACTGGCTATGTCTATCCGAGGGAAAACAGGCATAGTCTTTGTGGTCTCCAATGACATTGCTGAGCCACTTCTCAATGGGAAAAATGATAAACATGTTCAATACCAAAGGGAATCTCCGTATGCAAAAGCATCGCTTCTTCAACTAGTTACCTTCTCCTGGCTCAACCCATTATTTGCTGTAGGGTTCAAGAAACCCCTTGAACAGGAGGAAATTCCAGATCTCTACATCAAGGATTCAGCTGGATATCTCTCCCATGCCTTTGGCAAGGACCTAAAACACATTAAAGAAAAAGATGGAACAACACATCCATCTATCTACAAAGCAATATATTTGTTTATCAGGAAGAAAGCAGCAATTAATGCCCTTTTTGCAGTGATAAATGCTGGAGCATCATATGTTGGCCCATACCTTATCGACGACTTCGTAAATTTTCTTACTGAGAAGAAAACCCGGAGCTTGGAGAGTGGATACCTTCTTGCTATAGCCTTTCTAGGTGCCAAGATGGTTGAGACAGTGTCACAAAGACAATGGATCTTTGGAGCTCGCCTATTAGGCCTTCGCCTCAGAGCTGCTTTGACATCCCAGATATACAAGAAGGGCCTAGTTTTGTCCAGCCAATCTCGCCAAAGCCACACCAGTGGGGAAATCATCAACTACATGAGTGTAGATATTCAAAGAATTACAGACTTCATCTGGTACTTAAATGTTATTTGGATGTTGCCTATACAAATTTCTTTAGCAATCTTCATTTTACATACGAACCTAGGTCTGGGATCAGTGGCTGCATTAACAGCAACCTTAGCAGTAATGGCATGCAACATACCCATCACAAGAATCCAGAAAAGATACCAATCTCAGATCATGGATGCCAAAGATAACAGGATGAAAGCTACATCAGAAATTCTTCGAAACATGAAGACTATAAAACTTCAAGCGTGGGACAGCCACTTCCTTGACAAACTAGAAAGCTTGAGGAAGATAGAGTATAAGTGGCTCTGGAAATCACTAAGATTGTCAGCAGCTTCAGCTTTCATCTTCTGGGGATCACCCACTTTTATCTCTTTAGTGACTTTCAGTGCATGCATGCTACTGGGAATTCAACTCACAGCAGGGAAAGTCTTGTCTGCACTGGCCACCTTTCGAATGTTACAAGACCCTATATTCAATTTACCTGATTTACTTTCAGTAATAGCACAGGCGAGAGTTTCAGCAGATAGAGTTGCTTCATACCTTCAGGAAGAGGAAATACAGCAGAATGCCATTGAGTTTGTTCCTAAAGATCAAACAGAATTTGATGTTGACATTGAGAATGGGAAGTTCAGTTGGGATGGTGAGTCAAGTGCACCAACCCTTGATGGGTTACAGTTGAAAGTAAAGAGGGGGATGAAGGTGGCAATATGTGGGACTGTAGGGTCAGGCAAGTCTAGCCTGCTTTCATGCATTCTTGGAGAAATACAGAAGCTGTCAGGTTCAGTAAAGATTAGTGGGACGAAGGCTTATGTACCTCAGTCTCCATGGATACTCACAGGGAACATCAGGGAAAACATTTTATTCGGGAACCCCCATGACAGTTGCAAATACGACAGGACAGTTAAAGCATGTGCCCTGATAAAGGATTTTGAGTTATTTTCCTGTGGTGACTTAACAGAGATCGGAGAAAGAGGGATAAATATGAGTGGAGGACAGAAGCAGAGGATACAAATTGCCCGTGCAGTTTACCAGGATGCAGATATCTATCTACTTGATGACCCTTTCAGTGCAGTGGATGCTCATACGGGCAGACAACTCTTTGAGGTAACTAAAATTAGACTATTTGAATATAGACTCAGGTGCTATATCTGAGAACTAGAATTGTCCATTTCATCTACTTGGCTACACTAGAGCAACTATTTTTAAATTAATTTTAACACAAGCTTTTTCTTAATTTAATTTTGTAGGACTGCTTGATGGGTATTCTCAAAGACAAGACTATACTTTATGTTACACACCAAGTCGAGTTTCTCCCAGCAGCAGACCTCATTCTGGTAAGCCAAAAACCCATACATGATCCCTTTCCATCTCCTCAAAGGATTTCAAAATAATAAATTGGTAGCCTAGTGCCCACAAGATGTGCAGTAAAAAATCTTGTGCTTACTTGTATGGTAGTGAAACAAATAAATCCAGGAAGCATTGCATAATAGAAAGAAGAGAAATGTACCTGGATTACTTCAAACCTTTGGTCATCAGGGAATGACTAACCTTGAAAACTGCCAGGAGTCCTCATATCCTTATCCTTTTCGGAATTTCACCTTTGCATTTCCAGAAAGTCAAAGACTTTTGCACCCCATAATGCTGGGAGGTGTACAAACTTTAGTTCTGTGCACAGATTTTGACTGACACTTGTCTCAACAGGTGATGCAAAATGGAAGAATTGCACAAGCTGGCACATTCCAAGAACTTCTAAGACAGAATACAGGATTTGAAGTTTTAGTCGGTGCCCATAGTGAAGCTCTACAGGCAATTCTGAAAGTAGAAAATTCCAGCAGAACATCTCAAGATCCAACACCTGATAGTGAATTTAACACAGATCCTGCTTCAAATGCGGACCTGATACTCACACAACATGATTCAGAGCATAACCTCTCTCTAGAGATATCAGAAAATGCAGGAAAACTGGTGCAAGATGAAGAGAGAGAGAAAGGAAGCATTGGAAAAGAAGTTTACTGGTCCTATATAACAGCTGTGAAAGGTGGAGTTCTAGTTCCATTAATCCTCTTTGCACAGTCATCCTTCCAAGTATTGCAGATAGCTAGTAATTACTGGATGGCATGGGCTTCTCCTCCTACAAGTGACACTGAGCCAGCAGTGGGGATGAATTTCATGTTACTTGTTTACATGATACTAGCCATAGGTAGTTCCCTCTGTGTGTTGGCACGAGCAATGTTAGTAGCTACAGCAGGACTTTGGACAGCACAAAAACTCTTCATAAACATGCTGCACAGTGTACTCCGTGCTCCAATGGCGTTCTTTGATTCAACGCCAACTGGAAGAATCTTAAATCGGGTAAGCAAACAATTTTTCACTGACAAAGAGAAGAATCATACCTAATTGGTGTGATGTTAAACAAACCTAACCTCTAAACAGCTGAGTCTAATGTTCAGTTCATGGCTCCAATAAAAGATGTCATCAACTAATGAAAGAACAATGTAATAGATATATAAGAAAAAAATAGTTCAAATATAATACAGAAAACAGCTAAAAGCTGCATTTTCTGATACATAGGGACTAAATGTCAAATCCTCAAGTTTTTAGTTGTTCAAAGGTCTTGAAGCTTCAGTAGTTATACATTATGCACTGGAGATTGCATTAGTTTTGCTCATAAATCGTTTCTTTTGCAGGCATCTACAGATCAAAGTGTGATAGACCTGGAAATGGCAACCAAATTAGGTTGGTGTGCTTTCTCTGTGATACAAATTCTGGGGACAATCGCAGTGATGTCACAGGTAGCATGGGAAGTGTTTGTCATCTTCATTCCAGTAACTGCCATATGCATATGGTACCAAGTAAGTCACAAGTTTAAACTAGCTCTCATTTTAGACACAGCTGCTTCCTTAGGTGCATGTAAAAAGCAAGGACAATTCTCTTAAGTATTAAATTCAGTGAAAAAACTGTTGCCAATTAAAAACCAGATATAATAACATAATGACGGGAAGAAGGAAAATTAAAGGCTTCATGCATGCTGAGAGTAAAATCAACAGAAAATTAAGTTCAGAGGAGCGTAGATAAATTCCAAGCAAATTCTGTGAGCCATGCAAATCAAACCATTGTAAAAATTTGTGTACTAATGTCTTCTTATTTGCTATTGCTCCAGCAATATTACGTACCAACAGCAAGAGAGCTGGCACGATTATCAGGGATACAAAGAGCTCCAATCCTCCACCACTTTGCAGAATCACTAACAGGGGCAGCAACAATACGTGCATTTGATCAAGAAGACCGTTTCATTGATGCAAACCTTGATCTCGTCGACAGCCACTCAAGGCCATGGTTCCATAATTTCACAGCAATGGAATGGCTCTCTTTCAGATTAAATCTTCTGTCCAATTTTGTCTTTGCTTCATCACTTGTCGTGCTTGTCACCCTTCCTGAAGGAATTATCAATCCAAGTGAGTATCACACATTTTGAGACCCTATAACCCTGTTGACCTCCAATCCAAAACATACAATTTGCTACCAGAGGTAACAAGTTTCTTGGAAGGGACTGAAGGGTTGTCCATTTATGCAACTGAATTCTACATCCACAACCAAACTATGCTTCCATATTGAAGGCATAACTAATCAAGAATCCTTCTTTTTCTTTTTTTTTTTCCCTAATAGGCATTGCAGGGCTTGCAGTCACTTATGGAATAAATTTGAATGTTTTGCAAGCTTCAGTCATATGGAACATATGTAATGCAGAAAACAAGATGATCTCAGTCGAAAGAATTCTCCAGTACTCAAGCTTAGCAAGTGAAGCAGCCCTTATGATTGAAGACTGCAGACCACCTAACAACTGGCCCGAAGTTGGAACAATTTACTTTAGAAACTTAAAGGTAGGTCAAGCAAGTTTCTAAACTTAAGCAAAAATAGCAAAAAAATGACAACATCCACTTTGAAATATTATATATACATTTTTCAGCTCCATAGATGTCTCAAAAATTTCAATGATATAATTATTAAATACTTTGATAGTGGATCAGTGTTGCGAGTCCATTTATCAGGCACACAAAATCTATGCTAATAAATGGTTAGGCAAATGTAATGATCCAGAGGTTTGACTGTCTTGCAGATTCGATATGCTGATCATCTCCCATCTGTCTTGAAAAATATTACCTGCACATTTCCGGGAAGGAAGAAAATTGGTGTCGTGGGAAGAACAGGGAGTGGGAAATCAACTCTTATACAAGCCATTTTCAGGATTGTTGAGCCCTCTGAAGGGAGCATTATAATTGATGATGTGGACATTACAAAGATAGGTCTCCACGACTTAAGAGCAAGGCTTAGCATCATCCCCCAGGACCCAACAATGTTTGAGGGAACAGTTCGAGGGAACCTTGATCCTTTAGTTCAATATTCGGACAGAGAAATATGGGAGGTAATTAATTCTCTCAAAACAAGTATATTTAGAAATTAATCATTTAGAAGTAATACTTCTATCATCAACACAAATCCAGATCCACTCAAAAGGTTGAAAAACATGGAAAATGCATGACATGGAATGAACACCAAAATTTTTCATTATGTGCTGTAAGCATGGTGCATAGAAATTACCTAGTAAGGACAAGTATTAAGGTCATACATAATCATAGGGATAACACCTCAAAATTTCAGGCTTTGGATAAATGTCAACTTGGTGATCTGATACGTGCAAAGGAAGAGAAGTTGGATGCCACAGGTCAGTTTAATCAACTTGGAGGAAAAAACACATGGTTTAGTTTGCAAAGCAAGCTACTAACATAAATACCTCTAAACAGTGGTTGAAAATGGAGAAAACTGGAGCGTGGGGCAAAGGCAATTATTCTGTCTTGGGAGGGCGTTACTAAAGAAAAGCGGCATTCTCGTACTGGATGAAGCAACAGCTTCAGTTGATTCTGCAACTGATGGAGTGATACAAAAGATCATCAGCCAAGAGTTTAAAGATCGAACGGTTGTGACAATAGCACATAGAATCCCCACAGTCATAGACAGTGATCTTGTTTTGGTCCTAAGTGATGGTAAAGCATAAAGGCATAAAAACATGCATCTGCATTGATGAGTACATTTACCCATGTTATTACAGTTAATATTTGTTGTTCACCTGCACAAACAGACGAGCGCCATGGATTATTCATTGGGAAAGAAATTGAATAATTTTTTTGTTTTAACAGGGAGAGTTGCAGAGTTTGACAGACCAGCAAAGCTACTAGAAAGGGAGGATTCTTTCTTCTCCAGACTCATAAAGGAGTACTCCATGCGATCAAAGAGCTTCAACAGCTTAGCAAATATACAGAATTAAGTTCATTTCAGTAAATCTTATTGAAACTGGGTGGGAGTAGAGGAAGCAATAGAGGCAAGGAACCGGGACGCATGAAAAAAAGGCATACAATCCTATCAAAGCAAAGGAGACAAAAACAACTCTACCCATTTGAAGTTTAGTAGGAAGTGAGCCAAAGCTATTGCAGTCTGTTTTATATAATATAAACAGAAGAAGAATAAGAAAGCGTTAGAATAAAGAGTATCCCAGAATATTGGGATATAACAAAAACGAAATGAGATTTGCCTACTGTATATATATGTAAGAGCAAGCAAAAATCTTAATTCCAATTCTATCATTCTACCAACACCAAGCTAGATTCTAAGTCGAGAAAGGAAAGAACCTGATTCCGACAATTCTTTTTGGCCGGCGACAGGAATCCGATGACCGGCTTTGCGGCTCCGTCGTATACTAGCGTCGTCCTCCTCTCGACCCCTGGCAAGTTAATAGATTAGATGGTAGAATGAAAGGAAGAGAACTTTTGTTTACAGTGAAAAAAATAGATGTTGTAGTGGGACCCATTAGACGAAATTTGGTCCCTCAACTTTCAGATTTATACCAAAATTGTCCCTTAACTTCATAAAGTATCAAAATTATCCCTAAACTTTAATTTCTAATATCAAAATAGTCTTAAACTTTAAAAATAATACAAATTTAATCCTTAAACTTTAAAAATAAGTACTAACTTAGTCTTTAACCTTTGATTATAAATATCAATTTAATTTTTTTAACTCTAATTATATATCAATATGATATGTAAATATAAATATATAATGATAATAAAATATAATTGTTTGATTTTACACATCATTTGTAATTTAAAAAAAACTGATTTGGTAATAAAATAATGAGTTACATGATATTTCTATTAATCGAAGGACTTTTCTTGTTAAAAATTAAAATTTAGAGATAATTTTGATATTTTTTGAAGTTAAGGGACAATTTTAGTATAAATTTAAAAGTTTCGGGACCAAATTGGCGTTTTAACAAAAAATGGGGGTTATAGTGGGACCCACAAAGCGGATATTTTTAATACCATCAGAAAAGCTGCGTTGCAATTCAAATCGAAGACCAATCGCTTGCCATTCGAGAGGGAAAACACAGAGCGGCCGCCGGCGGTGGAGTGGGAGATTCGCAGATTCTCCGGTCTTTCGAAGAACGCCGATGGCAGTGTCGAGCTCGGCGAGGGTGCTTATAACTGCTGAATTAGAAGGTCCGAAGCCCAACGGCGGCGTTCCACCCTCCCGACCCTGGCTCGCTGTCCGCAAGCCATCTTGGGTCGTCAGAACTGAGGCAATCACACAAACTCCATTTTCAGATGGATTCTTAGTTTTTACCTTATATATATATTTTTTCACATATTTAACAATATTACGGTTGTTCTTGTTTGGAGCAGTCAAATGTTCGGAAGGAGAAGAAGAAGAAGCCAGATCCACCTTGTGTCGTCTGCCACGGCAGCGGCAGAGTCGACTGCCACCAGTGTTATGGAAAAGGTCTCCTCTCTCCTCCAATTTCCTATGTTTTTTCCTCCATTTTCCTTCAGTCTTGCTTTTACTGATTGTCATGGTATTGTAGGAAGAACAAACCATGTTCATTTGACAATGCTGCCGAAAGGAGAATGGCCAAAATGGTGAGGAATCAAAAACATATCTTTGAAGTAACTGCATAATCTTTCTTCTAGCTGCCATTGATGGATTGATTTATCTGGTTCATCATGCAGGTGCAAGACCTGTGGCGGTAGCGGGCTTGGTTACTGCTCCAGGTGCCTTGGGTCAGGAGAGTATAGGTACATAATGGGATTCAAGTTCATGAACATGGATGCTGATCATAACAACTATCCGACCCACCGTGAACCAGGAAAACCGGCATCTTTAGACTGGCTGCTTGGTCAAGATGAGAACGACTCTGGATCATGAAACGTGAAGACCTGGTTGGAGTATCATATTCGTATCCAAGTAGCTTAAAGGTTCATCAGGAGAGTACAGAATGTTTCATTTGGGGCTACCTGAGCTTCTTTTCTTCACTTACATTCCATAAATACAGATTTTTCTTTTTGCACAAACGTATCACTTCCATTGTTCAATTAAATAGACATTTAGTTTGCATTTCATCATAATTATGAAGCAACAGTAAGTATAGAACTAGATAATGATACAGACCCAGAAAATGTCATTAGATGATTGGAAGGCTCAAAGAAGAAGGCAAAATCCTGCATAATGTAAGTTTAATATTGAGCTGAAAGTAGGAGCATACAATACAGGGCAATATTATTGTCAGCTGAATGATAATACAGCAACCTTATCTATTTACCAGCCATGATCTCATGAAAGTTTTCATTTAAAAGGTAACCTTTAAAGACGTATTAAAACTGTTAAGCTGGAAAGTTGTAAATTAACATCAGGCTACATAGAGCTTTCAATATTAACAACTCAAAAAAGCATAAACCTTTGCTTTTGCTATCCATTAGCATTCTGTTCACCGAGGAGGTGGTAGATGGCGACGATGTAAACTGAGAATGGCAGATCATCAAGATGACTGATCAGTCAATGCCCAACGTTGAATATGGTTCAAAGCCACCCTGAATAATAAAAATGTAAAATAATCAGAATCAGCTATCCAGACTCCACCAACTGAGTACGTTAACTTAGATTAATGCTCAGAATGTATCATTAAAGTCATCATGTAAGCATGATTATTTATCAATGAATGATAAGGCATACAACTCTCATAGTCCCATTGAATGTTACTATTCCTATACTCCCATTGAATGCTAGTATGCTACTGCTTTAGAAATCAAGGATCAGACTACAAACTAAGGGTATTTTATTCAATATGATCTCAGGTCAGTATAGTGCTTGCCAATGAGGGAAACCAAGGGAACAACTGCAACAGATTAACCTCTCTTATGTGCAGAACAAATGAAATAATATCCAGTTAGGGTGTAATTAAAAAAATCAGATTGAGTACTATCTATTGCATTAATCTAATTCAATGAAACACTACTCACAGAGCAGTCATCATGAACACGCCATATAGTTTCACCCAGCAGATTTGCTACTGAAAGAACTGTCAGCTGAGGGAAATAGTTCTTCTCTGACACAGGAATTGTATTTGTTATGATCACCTCTTGAAAGAGACCGCTTGATAGCCTCTCTATTGCAGGGGGACTGCATATGAATGACCAAAAAAACAAAAAAATTAAGTAAATCATAGACACATGGATGGACACTGATGCAAATCTGACAAATCCCAACCATTCTCTGAGGAAGACATAATTAAATATTATAACCACCACATATTTAAGTTTTAAAAAGTTGATTATCAATAAGCATTCAACACAAAGAATCAAGATACCTAAATACAGCATGCGTAGTGCATGCATAGACTTCCCTTGCTCCTTCTTGATGCAATAAAGCTGCACCTTTGGCAATAGTCCCTGTAAGATCCACAATCTAATCACTAACATTTAATGAAGAATCAATAATCAAGATTCATAGGTCAACATTAGATAAAAGCAGAACACATTTCTAAAAAGACAACAAAATTTGGCCCTGAGAGTACAAAGAAATGGCATCTGACACATGTATCTTCTGAAAAAGACAACTAACCAGCTGTGTCAATCATGTCATCCACCACAACTGCTACCTTTCCCTTCACATCACCTATCAAATTCATCACCTGCAAGGTGACACTTATAAATTCATAAGGAGAACATAACAACAAGAGCACACCATATCGCACTTAGAAAACATATCAAAACTTCTATATCGTCCACTTTAACAATATTACCAAGCTTCATGGAAATATCAAAATTCACTTTTTTTTTTTTTTTTTTTTTTTGTTCCCCATATACAATCCCTGCATTTCTATGATTAATTGCAAAATGAGAAAAAAGAAATAAAAAGAGATCAGCATATCCCTTCTTGTGTCTTAATTAACTTAGTCATACATAAGCAAATCTCAGTATCTCACCTCTGCAACATTATGTGCATGGCGCCTTTTATCAACAATGGCTAGAGGTGCATCAGATAATTTTTTGGCAAAAGCACGTGCTCGGGCCACACCACCGACATCAGGTGAGACCACCACCAGATCATCAGAACATATTGTCTTGCTTGCAAGATAATCAAGTATCACGGGCTGGAAGTCCAAAGAGAAAAATATTACTAATTTGTGAAAGAAATTGTAAAGGAAATGTTATCCAAATAAAACATTCCAATATACAATAAGATCAGAATACTATTAGAACAAAATATATAAAACTTTTTATCATCTAACTTCATCAAATAGGAAGAACCTGAAACTTTAACGTTATTACCTGACCATACACATGATCCACGGGAATGTCAAAGTAACCCATGGACTGCCCAGAATGGAGATCACAAGCAAGAACACGGTTAGCACCAGCTTCTGTAATCAAATTTGCAACAAGTTTGGCTGCAATGGATTCTCGCCCTTGGGTCTGGAGATGCAATTAATACAAGTAATTGTTACAACAATTTCCACACACCCAATAAATAGGGAATGTACAAGACATCCATCAAAGAAATTGAACAGAACCCTATCTCATTAAATGCAATAAATTAGCGGATCTGAAAATTTTTAACAGAATTCTGATCTTCAAGACTTTCAAACACCATTATGATGATTGGTGAACTTTAAGAATAAAGAAGCAGGCAGTAGCAATAAGCTTTCTACCATATCAGACCCTAACCTTTCTATCAGCCCTGGCATAGCCAAAGTAGGGAATGACTGCGGTAATATTTTTCGCAGAAGCCCTCCTACAAGCATCAATCATGATAAGAAGCTCCATAAGATTCTCATTGGCAGGAGGGCAAGTGGGTTGCACTAGGTACACATCACACCCTCTAACGCTCTCTTGCAACTGAACATATATCTCTCCATCAGCAAAACGCTTTATCTTGATCTTTCCAAGCTCCAGTCCCATATAACAAGCAATTTCCTTCCAGAAAGAAAGTAGCATTTCAGCCAAACTTAGTAAAGAAATCCAAGAGAAGTTTTTTTTGGTTTCTGTTTTTGCTTGAATTGCTCCATAGAAGTGAAAAGTAGATAAAAGAAGAGACAATTTAGGCTGAAAGGGGAACCTGAGCTAGAGCAGGATTAGCAGTGCCAGAGAATATACGGAGCCTGGTGTCGTTCTTGTTGATTGCATCCTGTAAATGTGTTTTGGAAGACAAGAAGCTGGGCAAATCAGGTTGCGAGGTGAAAAGCGGGACGCACGGCCTCCCGTTCTCATACTTCAAAGGCTCCGCCACACTACACCTCTGAGACGCCAGAGATTCAAAAGTATTGAATTAGAGCAAGAAGCGACCAAGATTACAAGAAAAATGTTGAGTTCGTGAGAAAGAAAGCAAAGAATCTTGAGAGATTAGGAAAAGAAGAGAACTCACGAAGCGGTTGCAGAGCGGGATCGAGAAGCGGTGGCGACGGTGGTTGGAGAAGGAATTGGTGGGAGAGAGGGGTGGGACGGTGGAGTGAAGCAGAGAAGACGCCATCCAGATTCGGTAACAACCACCAAATCAGTAAGTTTAGGGTTTAAAATGTCGGCTCTGATCTGTTGTGAGGGTTTAAGAAGATAATTTCGTTTTGTTTTCTGTTTGCTGACTGTGCTACGGTCCACTTTGACAAGGCATAAACGAGCCACCCATAAAAAAATCTCTTTTTTTTTTTTTTTGGTGGGCCCTATAAAACACGAGTTTTTTTTGTATTAACCTTTGGAATCGAGCCACGTTACATCTCATTAGAGAAGAAGGTCTTCCAATACCTATTTCTCTTTTAACAAGACTTTTAAAGTCGAGATCTTATTTAAAAGGAGTTGAACTCTTTCAACTCGGAACAACAGATCATTGGTTATAAAATAAGAGGTTGAGTAGCAAGATGACAAACAAAAAAGAGAGTTTCTTATTTCACGATATACTTTTTCAAGTACCAATCATACAAATTTGTAAGTTTATATATAGACTAAGAGACATATGACGGGTTACATTAGCCATTAAATAGGACTAAATGAGACATTAAATGACACTTTAATGGACGCTTAAATGACACTTTAATGACTCTTTGAATGGCCTTTAGTAGGATCATAAATGACCCTTTAATGGCGAGGAACTAGCCCTCCATTGTGAGGAGTTACAACATGGAAGATGATGAATGTGAAGGTGTAGCATCCACTAATAGGAAAAATTCACAATACTCCCCGTTTAATGCTCACCTTTTCTGTTCTATATTCTTGTAAATTGCCTCATTAAAAACCTTGCTAGGAAAAACCCAATGGGATAAAAACCATAGCAAAGGTAAAAAGAGTGTAGTACATATAAAACTCCCCCTTCACTTCAATGAAGCTCTTTAAGATGTTGCATGCCTATGTTGTGTATAAGTTGTTCAACAACTTTGGTAGGTAGTGACTTTGTGAAAAGATTTGCAAGATTTTCATTTGAACTAATTTGTTGAACATCTATTTCACTAGTATTTTCAAGTTCATGTGTAGAGAAAAACTTTGGAGAAATATATTTGGTTTTATCTTCTTTGATGAATCCTTCATTTATTTGTGCAATGCATGCAGTATTGTCCTCGTATAATAAGGTTAGATTTCTTGTAATTGCTTTAAGACCACATGTTTCTTAAACATGCTAGATCAAAGATCTTAACCATACACATTCCCAACTGGCCTCATATAGAGCAATCAATTCTAATTGATTTGAGGATGAAGCAACAACGATTTGTTTGGTTGAATGCTAAGAAATTTTAGTACCACCATATGTGAACAAATATCCAGTTTGTGATCTCCCTTTATATGGATTAGACAAATATCCAGCATCTGCATATCCAATTAACTGTGATTTTGAGTGCTTTGAGTAAAATAATCTCGTGTCTTTTATTCCTTGAAAATAACAAAATAAATGTTTAAAGCCATTTCAATGTCTTTGTGTTGGTGCAGAACTACATCTTGCTAACAAATTCACAGAAAACATGATATCAGGTCGCGTATTGTTAGCTAAATACATCAACGCGCCTATGGCACTTAAATATGGTACTTCAGGACCAAGAATTTTCTTCGTTATCTCCACAAGGTCAAAAAGAATCTTTCTTTACATTAAGGGATTGAACAACCATTGGAGAGCTTAAAGGATGAGATTTGTCCATATTGAATCTCTTCAATATCTTTTCAATGTAATTTAGTTGATGGACAAAAATTCCATTTGATAAGTGCTCGATTTGTAGACCAAGACATAATTTTGTTATCTAGAGATCTTTCATCTCGAATTCTTTCTTTAAATATTCAGTTGCCTTTTCAAGCTTTCCAAGTGTCCCAATGATATTTATATCATCAACATATATAGCAATAATAGCAAAACTAGATTTTGACCTCTTGGTAAAAACACATAGGCTAATAGGATTATTTTCATATCGTTCTTTTAGGAGATATTCACTTAGGCGATTGTAGCACATTCGCCCTAATTGTTTCAACTCATATAGAGATTGTTTTAATTTTATTGAAAATATCTCTCTTGGCATTGAGTTGTATGCTTTACGCATTTTAAGTCCAATAAGGATTTTCATATAAATGTCACTGTCAAGTGATCCGTATAAGTAAGTGCTTACAACATCCATGAGC